TCCTTGAGTGGGCAAGGGTGGAAAGGAGTACATGGCAGTTTAACCATAGGAGGTCCAATGTATAAGGGTTCCAGAGGGCCAAGGGCCCAAGGGTGTGTTATGGCAAGTAGACCTCTGGAGGTCCTTAAAGATTCAACCTCAGAGGGTCAAAGACCCGTTAGGGAGAGGGGACCCGTCCCACACGGGGAATTAGCCCTTTAGGGTCCAATAAATAAGGACAATTGAGGGTCAACCACCCAAGGGTGGATATTGGCAATATCCCCATGTGCTTAGGGGTTTAACCTCTGAGGGTCAAATATCCAATGTATGTAGGTGACCTATGGTCACACGGGAAATTACCCTTCAGGGTCATAAGTATAAGGGTTTCCCGGGGTCAAATTAATATAAATATATATTGGCCTTTAGGCCTTGAGGAGTGCTTAAGGGATTGACCCTTAGGGGTTAAATTGATAAGGGGGGGGGGTGGGTGGACCAGACGGGTAAATAACCTTACGGGGTAAAATAAATAAGGGTTTATTAGGGTTAAATTAAAAGGGGCGGAATACGGCCTTTAGGCCTCTAAAAGTCCTTATAATAATACCTTCAAGGGCCGAATCTATAAGGAGTGAAGGGGACCGGAAACCACACAGGGAAATGGCCCTACAGGGTTAAAAGGATAAGGTGGTCCGGGGGTTACAATTATATAAATATTCCTCGGCCTTTAGGCCTTCAGGGGCCCTTGGGAAATAGACCTCGGAGGGTATAATCTATAAGTAGAATGGGGGGCCAGGAAAGGGAATCTTCATAAGTGTGTGGTCAGGGACCACTTAATTGGAAAGGAGACCTGTTCAGGGCCAAAGGGCTATAGCCCGCCCTGTGGTCTCCAGGGACGTCTCCACCTTCCGGACCACCCATCGCCATAAGGGGGAGTATGGGTGGATATTCTCCGTCCCTTCCCCCGGGGGGGTTACCCTTCCCTCTCTCCCTGGGCCTGTATTGCAATCTCTCCGAGTTGCCCTAATTATAAATAATTATTACACCAACTCCGATTGCACGGCCCGGTGGTTCCAGGTATCCGTGTCGCCTTTTGTCCCATGTATTTGCGCCCACATTGCCTACAACCGGAGGTTGTTAGCCAACGGCTTAAATTTTGAGGAACTAGTGACGAGCCCGGGTAAACCCCCGGTTTATGGGTTCCAGGTATCCGTGTCGCCTTTTTTGTCCCTGGATCGGGGACCCACGGCCGAAACATGAGTAAAACCTTTGAAAACCTAAGTAAAAGCCTGGAGGAGGCAAATAAAAGACATGATAACCTTCTGGCCCAAATGGCGGCCACAAATAAAGCCGTCCAGGAGAGAATGAATAAAATGGATGATAGAATTATGGTGATTCTCAATACTCTCGCCCAAGGGCAGGGTTCTGCCACCCAAAATCCTGTTGTCCCAGTTTATCCTTCAGATGACCCGGATGATCCCGGTGATGGGTCATCAACCCCTCCAATAGAAAATACCCCCGCCCCTTTGGGCCCCCCTTCAACCCCACCAATGGGAACCATTGCCCTGCCAAAGGTAAGGCCAGGCGAAGCTTCCCATTCCAAAGGCTGAACCATTCGATAAGGAATTACCTATAAATCGGATCATAACGGCCGATATTGAGACCCTTCAGGGTCATGGAGGTCCCCAGACTCCCTTCCTGTGTGCCTGGTACGGATTCCCAGAAGGGAAGGAGGTATACAAGGTGTTTGACACTAGCCAATACCCTCACACCCCAGAGGATATGTTCCGATCCTTTTGGATCTCCCTTATCTGCCATGCCCCAGGATGCACGGTGTATTTTCATAATTGGGCCGGCTATGATTCCATCCTATCTTTGGCCGCTTTAGTTGGGGTGGAGGGGTACAAATTTGTTCCAATAGTTAGGGATGGGAAGGTAATCTCCTTGACTATTCAGGATTCCAAGACCAAAACCACCTACCTTACTATCAAGGATAGTATGAAATTGATTCCTGGGGCGCTGGGGAAACTAGCCAAAGAATTTGGCTGTGACACCCGAAAGGGTGAATTCCCTCACTACTTTCATCCAATTGAGCAAACAGGCTCAATGAATTATATAGGGCGGGTATGAATACTTCGAGCCTAAAAGAACATCTAAGGAGGCTTGGGAAGCAATGGCTGCACAATACAAAGATAATTGGAACTTCCTGGAGGAGGCTCGTAAGTATCTGCAATCCGATTGCAAGGCTCTCCATGAAGTTATAGTAAAATTCTTTACCCGCGTAGCCTAAATTATTAAATCCTTTAATCTTAACCCTATAAATAATTTGTCCATACCTGGGGTGGCCTTCCGGGCCTGGAAACAGAAAATGCTGCCCCTCTTAATTCATAATAAAACCCCAGTTTATGATTTCTCCAAAGCCGACCCCGCGGCCTACCATGGAGGAATCGTTGACGTCTATCGCCCCTATCTAGAAGGGAAAGGCTACTATTATGACGTCAATTCCCCTTTATCCTACGGCTATGTGTGAACCAATGCCGGTTGGTAAACCGGAGTTAATTACTTTAAATCCTGACCAGCTTGAGGGTTTATTTGGTTTTCTTTGGGCCACCACCCTACTAGTCGAGTATTTATTACTAACGTAATTTAATGCCTCTTCCTAGTAGTGGTTAAATATATAAAAGATTACCCGTCCCTTCCCACCCCTTGTACCTTGTTTATGCCTCGTTGCCTTGCTAATGAACCTTGGAGCCTTGCAATATTCCTTGACCGGCCTTGTTCCATGGGTCCACCTATTGCCTACAACCAAGGGTTGTTAATTATCCGAAGGATGATTTTAGCTTTGAGTGAAACGAGCCCTCTCAGGCCGGGGAGGCCGTATACGAGAGCAGGAGCAGGGTCAAGCTGGGCCGAGGAGGATGATGAAGAAGTAATGACGCATTGCTCTTAATTCAAGGTAGAACGATCTGGTAAAACCAAGTTTCTTAACCATTAGTAGCCTGTGGCTGAAAGCATTACTGCTCTTGCACCCAGGTGCCCTATCAAGAGGGTGATCTACCCTAAGTTTATAAGGAAGTATAGAGGATTAGTTTCCCGCTTTATATGGTTTCAGCGGTTATCTATTCGCGACGTAGCTTTCCAGCCGTACCATACGCCTTATTGGCCGCTGATAACTGGTAAACCAGAGGTCGCTCCATTTAAGTCCTCGCGTACTAAAAACAGCTTCCTCCTTACTTCCAACTCCCCCCAGTAGATAGAAGCCGTACTGACTCGCGTCGTACTTACTAATTGTTATCGTAGAGCTCTTTATCTTCAGAGTTAAAACTCTGATTCCATCGGAATTCTCTTTAAAGAAAAATGGAACTACTTCAATAGCTCACGCTATTGTACAGACTATGTCATGATAAATTATTTGCATTACCCTGTATATTCTTATAATTAAAACCAACTGTACCTCCACATATATCCAATTTATATAGCATACTAGGATGCATATACGACTCAATAAGTGTTCTAAATCTTTTTTAAACTGTAATTGGACATAATATAAATTTGACATGAATTTACTTCTTTGGTAACGGGAATTTAACCTTCCCCCCCCAGTAGTATAAATTTTACATGAATTGACTTCTTTGGTAAAATAGTAAATACAGGAAATACAAAGAATTTATCCCGGGCGCTCGTGGAAGGATTATTGTTAGTGTACTCACCTTCTAGTCGTTGAACGTTCTTTTTCCTTATAGCAATAAGACTATTCACTAGAAAAAGCTTCGCTGCAAGTTGACTTACTTATTTGTACATTAAAATTATAAGTTGTTCTTGCAATTCACCCGGTTTTCTTTACTCTAAGCTTTGCATAAAATTACTATAATAAAATACAAAGGGAGAGTAAAGGGGCTAATACTTAACCCAGCTCACGTCAAAACCCCCTCTCCTTTTCAGGTAACCTCCTTATCCCATAGGGAGTTTTTTAAAGAAAGATCGGAGGTAGGAGTTTGGACTATATCTCTGTCCCGTAAACGTTCTCCCAAGTCCGGTCTGAGGTGCATCATTGCATTTAAAACAATAGGGTGAATAAAGGCCCGGTTGTGGCGTTGTAACTCTCGTATCTTTAATTCAATACCTCCCACCTTAAGGTGATCCTTCCGATTCATCATATCCAAAACTGCCTGCCACATAATAAAATCTAGACCTTTTATTGAAAATAAGTACATCCCATTGAAGACTCTCCTTGCTCCACAAAGTTAAGAAGGGTTGATAGTTAACGAGATTTAAACGGTCTTCCTGGGCCTTTATTACCTTTGTTTAAAATTGCAAAGTTGAGCATTTCTAATTTAAGTTGAATAAAATTAACCCTTAGATGTAGAGAGAAAATATACAGGACACTCTACGTGTAGTCTCTGAGGATCCTACTCAGCGAGATTCGCTTTTGGTTTCCTGCTGATTGCCCAATCCTCGGAGATTCTCACCTCCTTTGGAAAAAGAGAGGTACTCGAGGCTCTAAGGGATTTCCAGCATATAGTAGAGTTATAACCCTGTTCTTACGAACAGAGACGGCACGTTACGTACCCTTTTACTCGGCGAACAGCCGAACCCTTAGAACCTTATACAGCTCTAGGATAGGATGAGCCGACATCGCTTTGTGTGTTACTCATCAGTGCAGGGTTGCCACATAGACTCACCATGGATTAACCCATGTTGCAGGTAGATGAGAGGTGAAGCATAGCTTTAACACCCTTCTAACTGTTTCCAATTAGTTCAGACTATATCATCACCCAGAAGGGTGCAGGCGTGTAGTCGTTGAGGGGCGATGAACAAAGGTCAACGCTTCCCTGCTGATTGCCCAATCCTCAAAGATTGTCACCCTGTGACCAGGTGAGTTGCCAGTCAAAGCTCAGGGTACTCGAGGCTCTAAGGGTATTCCAGCATATAGCCTGTGCTCACCACAAGGTTACCCTTATGTGGCCCCGATGAAGAGGTGCCAACCCCCCCCAGTCAATATGGACTCTCGTGGGGGATCAGCCTGTTCAATTTTGTTAACGTGAAAGCTCTTTATCTTCCACCTCTTGAAGTCACCTTCAAGTTCAGACTATGTCATCAACTTAATGTGGGGGGTATTTTTTATGAGTCTTGGAGTAAGGTGATCCCTTATTAGTCCGTCTTTAACCATTTTTTTCCCTTGATTTTTCCAGACGACACGTTGCAACTGGAAAAAGAAGACCCTGAGGAATAGTTCAGCTAAAGGGTTAAATGCTTCATGGCTAAAGGTTTGGAAGCGCCAAGTGATAACTTCATTCCCATTGCTGTTGATGCGAGTTTGAGCTTTAGGTTCAGTAAGGATCCACTCCTTGAATAAATCATACACATGGAAAGCATAGTCTTTATTAATGTCACCCCATTCAAATTTAAGCCGATACGTTATTCCCTTATTTTGGGATTGAATGGAGACGTCACCTAAAATTAAGCCTATGGCTGCCTCAAACTGCACATTAGTTAAACCTACTAATTTGGCTTTTAGCTCACGAAGAGCTTTACTATTAGGACTAAGATTCATAAATTTAAAGAGAAAGTATGTTTCGTATACTATAACTTCTAAGATTTGACCCCCCTTATCCCCATTAAGTGCTGGGCGCTCGTGGACAGTTTATTGTTGGCATTACTCACTGTCTAGTCGTTGAACGTTCTCTACCCTGAAGCTAAAAGCTTATGCCGAGAAGAGCTTCGCTGCAAATAGCCTCCTACTTGGAGGAATCCTTGCAATTCACCCAGTTTTTAAACTTAGCCTCACAACTAAGTGGGACAAATTTATCCCTTGAGTCTAATATCTTCTAAGACTTTGGCTTAAGTATCTAGCCATATGCCCTTTATTTTGCATAACCCTGCAGTTGCATTCTATGCTGCAGCTGGGGGAATTTTTTAAGCTACTCTAAATGATTTTGTATTTCATAGAAGGATGAAGGAAAGTGTAGATGAGCCCAATAAATCGCTCTTTGCTATGAGCAGATATATAAATAGCATACTGACCTTTGTGTTGGTAAAGACTACACTGTAAGTCCGAATTTGGCATCCAATACAGAGATAAGTAAAACAACGTCTTCCTTAGAGAATCCATCAGTATGAAGAAGAAGGCCATAACCAGCCTTAGCTCCCCCGGCCGTAGGCACCAAGGGCGCCCCGTCCTTGGGCCGGAGGCGTCATCTGAAAACCAATAAGAGAGACCGAGAGGAGTCAAAAGATTACCTATATTCTCAGGAACTTGATTTTTCCCAGAGATAGGATCATAAAACAAAAAATAGAGCTGATCAAAGAAAGGAAAACTTAACGTTTGAAAATAAACCTGTAGATAAGAACCTGAATAACGATTTATCTCATATACTCGTGGTGGCGAGGATACATAAAGAGAGAACAAATCATATAGATGAATAAGATAGTCAAGGTGTTTATAGGACTGACAGAACTTTAAGACTGCCAAACTGTTAGCCTGCGGGGGTACCGTTTAACGGCACTAAGATCCCCTAGCATTAAACCTACAGTTATATCAAACAGAGGATCAGGAAAAGAAATAAGGCCTTTAAAGGCTTTCTAAGCTTTAAGAGAGTTAGCCAAGTCTAGCATGGCTTTAGTTGAAGGATAGAACATGGTTAAAGCAGAGAATTTAAATTAACTTCTAAGTACAAAATTATGTAGCTTAAAATATGGTTTCCCAATTATGCAAACAGAACGATTGGACACATCTTAGTGAGTCCTTGGACTCACTCAATATTTCTATTGAGAGGGGACTATATCTTAACTAATTAGAACAAATTTAGTCTACTACGTATAGTCTCTGAGGATCCCTTCTCGGTAAAGGTTTCCTGCTGATTGCCCAAATCCTTGAATTGTTCCGTCTTCCCCGAAGGTCTTCGGACCAAGGACTCTAAGGGGTTTCCAGCATACAGTAGTATTTACCTGCATTTTCCAGTCTAGTAATCTTGCAGGAGCCACTCTTAGGGATTAAGAAGTAGCTATTATCCGTTGATCGATGAGCATTCCATAATGTATCACCGGGTCACTATGCCCTAGTTACCTATACCCCTTCGAGCTACCCCTATGTTTACTCTACCGTGTGTAGGGGTACGAAAGGGTTGTACCTGATAGACTTGTAGGTCTCACAGTCAAGCATGCTTGTACCATTGCGCTTACTTAGGCTCTCCATGGCCATAGAGAGGTTTCCAACCTAGCAAAGCACACCTTCGGACTCCTCAGTTACTTTAGGCGAGGATTGCCGCCCCAGACAAACTGCCTACTAACCAGCATTTACAGTGAAACCTACTACAAAGGTCAAGGTATCGTGTCTAGTCGACTCCCTTTGCACCCCGAGTAGTGGTTGCACACTAGCTAGCTGCAGTCAAGCTTCAAAGGGTCTGTTTCGATAGGTCTAGGCGTGAGTACTATTAGTAAAGCCTCTAATTTCATTAAAAAGGGTATAATAGATTCCTTCAGGGACCTTTGGAAACCTTAAACAAAAACAAAACCTTTATAGATTGTGAAACTCTTTGACTTTTAATGAATAGGACCCCTGAACATGAGTAGAGTGATAATTTAAAGCAGAAATAGCATCAGCTAATTGAGCAATTTTAAGTAAATCCTTAGGAGTTTTCATTTCCTCTTGTAACTTCTTAATCTCATACATTAGGTCTCTTTGTCCTGTTTTAATTACAAGGTGTGGCCCAAAATAATCAAGTAAAGCAAAAACTTGCCCCCTCTCAGTTACTCTTAATGCTTTATCAGTTGGCTACCACCGAAGTCATTAAGTTGGCTTTTAAGCCATCTATTAAAAGATAAGTTATTTTGGTGAAAGGTTAAAGCATAAAAAATGCCAAATTTCAAGGCATATTTTGCTCGATATCTAATTTGAACAAATACAGAACCCTCCCCATCAAAAAATCCTGCTAAATATTGAGGATTAACTTTAAAATTGTTATCGTTTTGCATGGTATTAGTTCAATTAATTCAAACTGCTTACTTCTAAATTACGAAATTTCATACCCTTTTTAATTTTACAATACACTTTAATTGAGGTTACTAGTTTACTAAAAGTAATCACACCCCTCTAAAAAGAGGCCCTTACGGGCTTTCCCCCGATAAGAACCGTACGTGCAACTTTCATCGCATACGGCTCAAGCACTAAACTTTAAATAGAGCCTATAAATAAGTGTAAGAATAGACCTACTAGGAGGATCTGCTAAAATCCTTTCTACCTCTCTTCATCTGAGACTTAATTTGAAACATTTTCTGGACTCCTGCTTCAGTGAAATGCTCCTTTGAAACTTTCATTTGAATTATGGTTTTCCAGTCTTCATAATCTAGAGATTTAGAGGTAAACAAAGGATGAGCATCAAAAAAGGGTATAATTACATTCATTACATCACTAAGATTACTTACAACATAACGGCTAACGCTTCTTACACTTTGTGCCGTCTTTAGTTCGTTATTAGTTCTTTTAGGCTTTATTATTCCACAACCAAAAAAGGATTGAATGAGTTCAAGAACCGCAACGTCATGAGTGTTTTGGGCTATTTCTAAGGAAGCTTGAAGATACCAGGTCGAAGATTCTTTTCCTTTTATATTTGGTTTACCCATATAGAAATAGAAGCATCCTTCAGCATCAGTGAACCCTTGAATCCACTCGGGGGAAATAGTAGACTTAGAAGTATGTTCTTGGCAAAATTGCCCTTTTTCCTCAAATGTCCGATTGGTATTCATTTGGGATGCCATATTTTTAAGCTTCTCTATACCTTGAAGAGTTAAATGCTCTTTATTTTCAAGCATCTTGATTGCTTTTTTGAAGGTCAAATAATTAAGATACTTAGAAGTCAATAAAGGGTCTTTATCTAAATGAGGGATTAGGACTCTGCTAATGTCCACTATACTACTCAGTTGATCTTTTAATCCATCCGTATTTTTATTATCGATCTTAACAACTCCACAGCCAAAAAACTCTTTGAGAAGATATAGCACACTAGCAGAATGGGTTTTTTGTGTAACATGCATTTCGCACACTACCCGATGCCCTGCTGAACGAGAATCGTCTTTAGAAATAGTTATATTAAAAGAACCTTCGCCATCAATTAATCCAGCTATGTAATTAGGATGAAGATTATTTACTCCACAAGTAGAGCGGATAAAGAAAGGTTTCATTTTTGAAAAAACAAAGCTCTATTACTTCTAAGGTTAAGACAGATAGGTAGTCTATCCTAACTTATTTTATTGACAAGATATGGTACATGCCCTATCCTTAATATATTTATAAGCTACCTCACCGACCTTAGTTTGAGTCAAGAGGTTTTAGCACCTTTAGTCCAAGTCAGCCACCTTTCGGTGCAGATTCAAAAATCCTATCCAATGCATTACACACTGGCCTTTGCTTTTTAGACAATCCTATACCCACTGGTCGATAAACCAAATTGCTTTGATTCCTCCTTTCTCAAGGAGACCGTTGGGCTTACCCTGTTCCTATAAACGCACCTTAATGATATCTTTAGGATCCTACTATACGTTATAACAGGTGAAAAGAATTCACTAGTCTATCAGATTAGAAACGAGAAATTCTAACCCTCTGATTACAACGCTTCAACCATAGGTTCACTTACGTTATCCATGGATACCTAGCCTAACAAATACCCTCAAATTTGCATTGTCCCTATAGCTTCACACCCTCCAATTACTCAGAACGCATGTATAGGTAGGCTCAGAAGATAGACGTTCAGGTGGGAATTCTCCACATTACGTTTATAAGCTTAGCAGGTCGCACTCTCGTCTAGCTGGGGGTAATCCGCATCTTCACGGATAATTCAATTTCGCCGAGCTCGTCTTGGAGACAGTAGGAGCTTCGTTCAACCATTCATGCGGGACATCATTTAAATGCCAAGAAATTTCGCTCTACCCTAATTTAGTATTAGCCCCCTAGGGCCGCTCGGCCTACGTGGACCGGGGCCAGGGGGGAATTGTTTTATTTAGGGTTTGGACTATATCTTACTATTTGTTAGGAGCCTCATATGTTCTGTTGCGGTTCATACAACCCTTGAATGCCAAGAAGACCCTGCTCAGTAAGGTGTTCCTTACGGTTCATCATAGTAGCCACAGAAGCAAAAGAGTTGAAATCCAATTGTTTAACGGTTCGTAAAGGATAAGACTGGAAGAAAGGTATTATGACTCTGTTTAGATCAGACAGGTCACGAACCAGGTACTTAAATTTCAGAGGTCCATCTGGTGCCACGTAACCACAACCAAAGAACTCTACGAACTGTAACAACAACTCATGATCACGTCTGTGTTGTGTTATACTAAACTCAAGCTGAACTTGATAACCTAAACGTAAGGTTTGATTTTTGAAGACACCCACTGAGAAGCACCCTTCCCCGTCTACGAAACCAACAACCCAAGAAGGATTGAAAATTTGATCATTAAAAAGTGTCATAATGTTTATAAACAATTTATCTTACTTCTTAGTACGTTATAATAAAATTGGGAAATTGATACAACAGCCTAACATCTAGAACCACGTGTAGTCTCTGAGGATCCTACTCCCCGACGGTTTGGTTTCCTGCTGATTGGGCATTCCTTGTGAGGATTGTAACTTACCCCTATCTTATGGGTTGAGTACCGCAAGGTTTCAGCCTTCCCAGCATATAGTGGTTTGCGAGCGTGTGGAGTTCCACGCCAGGGCAGAATTTCGCTACCTTAGGCTTTATTCCTGCTACTCTCGTAGAGGGTTGGACCATATCTTCAAGAAAAGGACCATTATTTCTCTCTAAAAATTCGCCTACCCCGGTCTCGAACCAAGGGCTCTACGTCCTAGGGGCGAGGCTAAGACGAAAAATAACCTCAAGAGAACCAGAGACGTTTTGGGGAGTTTTTATAAGGAATAAAATAGAAGTTTAAGGTTAAAAGAGAAAGAAAGGTGCCTTTACCTGCTCGGCGTATGGCCTCTGAGGATTCTAGTTGTTGGGATTGGCAAAGTATGCCTTTTTGTCCCGGATAATAGCAAGTACCACCTCCAAAGTTCGTTTACGCGTTTTGCCCTTACCCTCCTCATTGAGAGTATAAGCGAGCTTAACCATGTCTATCAGACCCTCTTGGGTAAAATGCTCTTTCCGTTGTTTCCGCTCGAGGATCTCGAGGAAAGTGTTGAATTCCTTTACTTTACCACTGAAAGGTCTTACATACTTAAGGTAAAACGGTACAACGTGATCTATAAGATTAGTCAAGCCTAATAGCTTATACTCCAACACGTCTTGGGATCCGGGTTTCAAGTGAAGGTTACCTTTGCCGTCAAACAGGTCTTTAAACCCTGCTAGGATATGCTTACCATTTTCGTGTTGAGTTACACCAAACTCTGGCTGAACATGAACCCCGAAATCAGAATGAACTTTGACAGACGCTGAAACTGAACCTTCGCCCTCCGCGAACCCCCCTAAGAAATAGCTTTTGGCTTCTGAGTTGAAATTGCTATTATCCACTAGTCTTTCCTGCTGATTACCATTATTGACTAGATTGTTACAGGTCGAGAAGAATAAAACAAGTGTAGAGAACATTTTGATTCAAACTAATTACTTACTTCTTAGGTATTTAGACCACGTACTAGTCTCCTAATATGGTATCCCAGCAAATAGCCGAGTTTTAAGACGGCCCTATATAGCCAGACCGTCAAGGTTACAGCCGCCATTGACTAGAGCTTCCCTTGCCATCCTAGAACGGCTTAGTTGATTATCTAGCATCGGGCAGGTCTCAGACTCTATACATCCACGCTAGTGTTAGCAGAGTCCGGTGGTCGGAATAGGTAGGAGATCTCTCTCTTTCCCCTCCTCAGAACCGTACGTGCGACTTTCACCGCATACGGCTCAAGCATTGCTCTCAAATCGGTCAATACTTATTTGCCACCCTCGGCTTGACCCAAGGCAACCTTAGCCTCTATAGAAGGAACTCCTGTAAGTGATTCTAACCATTCTTTGACTATTTCCGCCCTAATCACTTAGAAGGGTTATTCCGTTTAGAGTTTAAATCACTGCATAATTTGGCAATATCTAAGAAGGCATCTCTAGCAGCGAGAGTTTTCCCTATATGGTTGTGCGAACGTAAGAGTTGAACAATCTCACACCATTTTTCAAACTCATAACTTTTTGCAGACTTTTTCCAGACGACACGTTGCAGCTGGAAAAAGGAGAGTAAAGGATACTTTAAGAAAAAGGGAATGATTAACTCTTCCAATATAGGGATGCTTTTAAAGGTAACTACAGCCATCTCGTTAGGCTTAACATAGACACCACCTTTGTTATCAAAGTAGGCATTAATAGCTTCGAGCAAAGGAAGGTCTTCTACCTTTTGAGTAATATGAAATTCACCTTGAGGCTGTAATCCCCACATTCCTTTTAGATAACACATTAAAGAAGCAGTGAAGCACCCCTCACCATTGGCAAATGCCGAAATCCAAATAGGGTTAGATTTCAAATAAAGCAATATTTCTATAGAATCCTTAAGTGTTTTATCATGACTAGTTATATAGCTTATTTACTTCTAAGTATGTACAGTTGTAACCTAAGACACTTAATGGTTTTAATAGTCCTTAGGCTTAACCCTTGACGCATGATGGCGTTAGGTTTCAACCCCTTTGGATTTGAGAGCAACACCCTTGTGCAAGTCAGCCACCTTTCAGTGCAGATTAGAAAATCCTATCCTCGTCATTACAGCGAGGCATTCGCTTTTTGCACTGTCCTTACCCACTAGCCGATAGATGAAATCACTCTCATCCCTCCTCTCCCAAGAGGAGACCATTGGGCTTACCCTGTTCCATCAGAAACACCTTAATGATTACTTTAGGATCATACTCTACGCCGGAGGATATGTCGTTATTTTACGCTTAAGGCTGATCGAATAACCTATCAAAAGCAGATTATTCCTATCCTCGAGAGACCGTTTCAAGCACTTTTGGTCGGCTGTTCTTACGACGCCTCAATGTATGTTCACTTTCGTTATCCATGGTAATCTAGCCTAGCAACGTACCACCTTGTGCTTAGATGGATAGCTTACATTGTTCCTACAGCTTAGCACACATAGGTTACCCCAAGGTAAAGAAAGAGAGGTTATGAGAAGGATTTAATCCCTGTATCCTAATAGGTAGTTCACCCTTAGGTCGGGAAATTTAGAGAATAAAAGGAAGAATAAAATGTTAAAGTACCATATAAAACAAAACATAAAGAAACAGAGAAGAAAATATGAGAGTTGGGGTTTTTGGTGTGAAACCTTAACTTAAAGCCCTATTCGATCTTTCATCATTGAAGGGATGTGAGGAGAAACAATACCTTGTACTTTTGTTCACTCTCTCTTAGGAATTCGTATTATGTATTTATCCTTTCCTTTTCCACCAGAGACACGAGTAGTCTCTATCTCAAAGTTATCTAGAAGTGCTCTCCGAATAGCATCAACCTGAAAAGGTTCAAATGAATGGGTAGAGATCTGAATAGCGCCTTGAGTTTTATTATAGCTTCCGTCACCACCGAAGGATCCAGCATATAAGCAAAAGAAATTGGAGTTAGTAAGTTTTATTTAAAGGTATAATCTTTACCCTTTTGTTATCAACAGGTTTATACCAAAGCTCAAATAGTTCTGTGAAGAAAGGTAAAGTAC